TTGCAGCACACTGCTGACTCATATTTAAGTGATTGTCCACCAGGACTCCGAGATCCCTCTCACAGTTACTACTATTGAGCAAGGTACCCCCTATACTATACCTGTACATTTGGTTTTTGTTGCCTAAATGTAGAATCTTACTTTTTTCACCATTGAATTTCATTTTGTTAGATAGCGCTCAGTGTTCAAGTCTGTCCAGATCCTCTTAAGTCTGTCTTCTGGAGTGTTGACTATTTCTGCCAGCTTGGTGTCATCCATAAATTTGATGAGTTCACCATCTATCCCCTCGCCCAAATCATTGATGAAGATGTTGAAGAGCATTGAGCCTAGAACAGAGCCCTGGGGCACCCCACTATACACTTCCCTCCATGTAGATCCAGTTCCATTGAGGACCACATGCTGAGTACAGCCGGTCAGCCAACTACAAATCCATCTGGTGGTGATGCTGTCTAACCCACATTTTTCTATCTTATTGAGTAGTAGGTTGTGATTTACTTTATCAAATGCCTTACTGAAGTCCAAGTAAATTATATCCACAACATTCCTCTGATCCACTAATTTTGTCACTTGGTCAAAGAATGCAATAAGATTTGTCTGGCATGCTCTGTTTTTGACAAACCCATGTTGGCTTTTAGTAGTGATTTTGTTTGCCTCTAGGTATTCGCTGATTCATTATTTTGTCTACAACAAAAACATCCTTGTGGGCAAGACATTGATTTTTATTGCCAAAATTCTCCCAGCAATGACAGTTGTAGTTTCTCCCATCTTAACATGTCTCTTTAACTTCATTTTATGTATTAACATGGTTATTTTGAAATAACATGTAATTCATAACATAGAAGTAACATATAGTCATAGTGATGCCAGATAATTTATCTTCTTCTGAATTTTAAAACCCAGCATATTCAATTCTATTTGATTGTCTATCTTCATATTATTTGTTAATTTTGAACCCTGTTAATGTACCAAATTATTTTAATTTATCCCTTAGTGTCCTTTTAAATGATCTTCCAAAATCAATATCAAGTTACTTACAAAAGCCCTTAACTTATAAGTTTCTTTTTTAATCTTTATTCCCACAATCATCTTATCTTATATCTCTAGTCCAGACATGTCAAACTCACGACGTCACGTGACATCGTGCAACGTATCGGGACTGTTTTGCCATTGCCTGCAATGGGGTGGGCACGGCTTCTGTGTGACGTGTCTGGCACTTTGAGACCCCTGCTCTAGTCAGTATTTCAAGAATAAAATAAACAAGAGAGGAGATATTGAGTATCCATATTGTTCATTTTTGTATCTCACTGGGTTTGTGAGATCACCATTAACTTTTAGCAAGGATTCATAGTGAACTAGACATCCCTGAAAAAATGGAGGCGGCATTGAGATTGACAGCCAGACAATGACTTCTTTCTGCCATTATTATTGGTGTATCACTGATGCTATGAACCACATTTTAAATTTATCTTTTATACCAGAGGCCCCCAAGCTTTTCAGCACCAGGGATTGGTTCCATGGAGAGAGGTTTCTCTGTGGACCGGAGGGTGCATGGTTTTGTGTGCTACCTGCATCTCGCATATGGGGCTTTGCTTGTTTGTGCGGACTAGTCGCTGGCATGCTGCGGCCCAGTACTGGCCACGGACCGGGGGTTGGGGACCCCTGTTTTATACTACAGTTTTAGGTTATTTATCTTACATAGTCATTGGCCATAAATTAAACTAAACTGAACTTGTGCCTTATATAAATTGACATCCAGAGAGGCATTAACTCTGACATACGGTATTTAATTCTATCAGGAAGATAAACAATTCACTTTTAATTTTAATGCTTCTAGAATGGTATTATTTGTGGGAATCTATATAGGATGTTTATTAATTTTCTAATCATGCCTTTTTCCTTATGTAATGCTTTGTGCTAGTGAGAGATCTATGTTAAATGTACATATACTTCACAAGATCTTTTGTTCTGATTTGGGCTCCTTCAAGATAATGGTGTTTCTGATTAGCTTGAATTGCTGAGTCACATGTGCATCTCTGAGTTTTCAAATATTTGACAACTCAGAGTTTTCTGACAATATATGTGTTAGTCATATTTGAGGGGATGTTATTATATTTTAGTATAAGGCGTGTATCTACATTTTACATCATTTGCCATGATGAGAAAGAGAAGCTTCCTTTTATATGTGACTTAAACATCAAGTCTTTAAAAAATAATGAACAGAATATAATATTTGTTATATTCACTTTACTTCTCAGCCTCCTCTTTACCCTATTCAAGATGTTCCTGTAGTTCAATAGATTAAAAGAAAAAAGATAATGAATCCTAATGGGTTGGTTCAATCCTATATATACACTTACTTAGTATTAAAATCTATTGAGCCTACTTCTAAAAAATATGTATAGATTTGCACTGTGAAGAAATTAATGGAACAAAACTAAGTCCGATTTAAACTTCTATAATTTCAAAAGAAACTATGTGCTGTAAATTTAGAATAAATATTTGGTTCTATTTTGTCCAATCCCAATTCTTTACCAACACTCCTTCTAGAACTGTAACAAGTATGTATCCTGTGAGGTTGCTTTCTGCACAATCAGAGTAAAAAAATCTGATTGTGATACATTTTGAATGTAAAGCTGTGAATTTAGATTCTGATTTTTCTTCTTTAACTTTCTCCTCATCCCTCAGTTATATCAGCATATGTGTGGAGATAATGGAAAAGATTGCTAACAAATTGTATCTGGCTTGGCACAATCATAATCCATTTTATTAAGACTGATATTACAGAATGTGTTTTAAAAGGCTGATGGCTAAATTTGATACTTGCTATTCCAGTGGTAGGTAACCTTGACTCTTTTATGACTTGTGGACTTCAACTCCCAGAATTCCTGAGTCAGCATGGTTGGTTCAGGAATTCTGGGTATTGAAGTCCACAAGTCATAAAAGAGCCAAGGTTACCTACCCCTGTGCTATACAATGATCCAATGAGAAATTATTTTGCATAAGTCTCATTCAAATTAATGGAAACTGTTCAGACAGGAGTTGTTTCAATTATGCAGAAAAACTCATTTGTAAGCAAGCCCCAGATTATTCAGTGTGTGTATATTTGTGATTTGGATTCTCCATTTTCAAGTATCAAACAATTTGCCCTGGGAATAAACTTCCCATGCTATCTGACATTCTGTCCATCTGTTTTGAGGGGTTTTCTCTCTCTCTTTCTTCTCTTCTCACTTTCTCTGAAAATAGCAGTGTCTATTTCTGAACCGGAAATGTGGCAGAAGGGGACCGAAAGAGGGAGGGAGGAAGGGAGGAGCAAGAGAGAAATAGTAAGGTAAAGAATTTGCTTAAGGTCAGAGGGGGTAAAAAAGAAACAGAGCTGTTCTTACATCTGTTGCAGTCAATTCAACAGTTCTTCAGGAAAGAAAATACAGAACTTGTTCTATTCTGTTTGAGTTACCCTGTTGGAATTAGGTGAACCAATTGTGAATGGCTGGAAATTGTCCGTTGGGAAGTAAATAACCTTCTTAGGGCTAAATGCAGCCATTGAAGAAGCTGGATGATGTATTGCACATTCAGCCACACCAGCAAGAACAGATGGCAAGCAAACTATTATTTTGATACACGAAAATTCATCTCTTTCCTCTTCCTTTCTTTCTTTGGAAGAAATACTCCCACTTTTGATGTGTCAAAAGTGACATGCCACAATGTTTCAAAAGGCTCATCAGCATTCAACAATACCTGACAACAACTATTCTTGAAAATACATCCCGTTCTCAAATAATTTTTGGAGGCTGTGCAAGAATGGGTATGTTCCTGCATGGCCTCCAGAGTTTTCAAAAATCACAAGAGAATGGCGCATATTTTTGGGTGGTTTGCAGAGCGTGTAGAGGCTGAAGAAGAGCATTTTCCAAAGCTTTTTCAAGAACGAAGGCCTTGTGCAACCCAGAGCAACCTTTGATAGACCATGAGGCCTGTCACATCTTGGACAGTGACACAGAGTAGCATTTTTGAGGGCCAGTAGTAGTGCTAGGGCTGAAGTTTGAGGCCCAGGACTCTAGTTCAGGCCTACTATCAACATTGCTACTATTTCTGTTCAAGGTGGTTAAATATAGAAGGAGATAGACAATTGGGCCTCTTTTGTTTGGGAGGGAGGGTAGGTCGGGGTAGGTGACATGCCAGCAGAGTCAAATTAGATATTTTCTTAATTTTTGATATGCCAAACTCAAAAGATTTGTCCTTACTGTCCTAACTAATCAATGAAAGATTAATTTTATATTTAAGCACTGAGCCATAAACATTTCTGTTGTTGAATGATGAGACAAGATATTTGTGTCAGAATCTAATGTTGATTAGGATGAAAGGATGTGATTGTCCAAGATCACCCATCTAGTTTCCATGCTCCAGGGAGGACTAAAAGCTGGGTCTTCCCACTCCTGGTCAGATTCCTTAACTACTATGTCATACTGATTTTCTTGTGTTTTTTCAGTATATTGGAGTACATCTGAATGAGTATTAATAAATTAATTTGTGTCCTGCAATGAGGTCAGCTTTTTCCAACATAGACACAAAAACATAAATCAGGACAAATACAGATACTAAGTAATAAGAAACTCTAAAATGCAAAGTTATGCAACATTTTATATATACATGTGTGTATGTGTAATATGTAGTCAATATGTAGACTACATGTGGGCTATATAGTTGGAAAGTAAGAATTTGGTGGCAATGCATATAACATGAGTTATTTTGCACAATTAAGATTTCAAATGGCAATAGGGACAAGCAAGGATTGTGTCACCTTGCAATTACTTTCTAATAATAAGTAGAAAACAGAAAGGTAAACGGTTGCCATAACATTATCTTAAAAATTGTGTTTTACTTGACTACAGACATGTCTCAGCATACAAGCAGAGAACAAACTGAGTTTGTGGCAAAATATGTAATATGATAGCCTACCTTTCTTTTCTCTCTTCCCCGATCCTTCTTTCTACCTCACCAATTAGGAGGATGTTTCCATTTCTGAGTTTCAACATCTCCGGGCTGGATCCTGTGGCTCATTACAGTATCTATGTGGATGTTGTGTTAGTGGATCAGCACCACTGGCGATACCAAGGCGGGAAATGGGTTCAATGCGGCAAGGCCGAGGGAAATATGCCAGGTATAAATAGAGAAATCCTCTCTTTTTTCATTGTCTCTTCTCTTTTCAAATTCCAATCAGGATTCTAGTACAGCAAACATTTAAACAAATCTTCTTTTAGATTTGTGTGCATGGACTACTGTTTTGTTTTCTTTTTTTAAAAGAGACAATTACCACCCTAAATTAAATGTGAATGGTTTCAAATCTACTTTGGCCCCATATTATAAAATGATTTTTAAAAAATCAGCAATAAAAAATGTGTGCTTCGGGTCTCTACCACTATTGGACTCATCCTCAGGCATCTGTAGCAGCATGAATGAGGAGAAGGTCCATGATAGTTTAAACTTCTAGATAACATATTCAATCCAAGATAATAAAATAATAAAAGAGATGCATTCTGCATGAATCTGAAGGCTTTCTTACTATGGGCATGCAGCATTTCAGATTTGAAGGGAAGAAGTTGCTTTGTAGCACCTGGAGGTGCTCATGAATGCCCCAATGGGTACTCTTAATGGAGTCAGATCTTTTTCCAGGAACACGCAGTTATTATGGAGATGATCATGCATGCTCCCAAACACCCTTTTCTTTCAACACCACACAACCCTATTTCTTACATTTATTACTTCTTGACATACAGTATCAGGATTCATTTCTGGTTCAATTCAGTCATGAATCTTCTATTTGTATGTAGGAATTCATAGATTTAGAATGTTTACCTATTGCTTTTCTATAAAAGCTTCCCAAAACATTAACAGGTAATCCTTGACTTATAACCATAATGGGGCTTGGAATTTCTGTCAAATGTCATGACAGTCATAAATTGAGGCACCCAAGCATGACCGACCTGTTTTTATGATATTTTGTGGCAATCATTAAGTGGTGGTTGTTAAATGAAACCCACTGTCTGCAAATTGTCATTGCCAGACTTAGGAAATAAATGTTGGGTTCCAGCAAAAAACATTGTAAATCATAGTCACATGACCACAGGATAATGTAAACAGTCATAAGTGTGGGCCAGTTGCTGAGCATCCAAAATGTGAACCTGTGACTATGGTGTGTATGTGTGCGTGGTGGGATGGGGACACTGGAACTTTGAATCCAGGTCATAAGAACCTTTTGAGAGTCTGCTGTAACTTTAAACAGGTGCTAAGCAATGGGTCATAAGTGAGGCCTACTGTACCCTACTATTGAACCTGATGATGATGTCAGAAATACACAGAGGTATTACACCAGTGGTCCCCAGCCTTTCCTCAAGGCAGTCCAGCAAGGGGGGGGGGCAGGGGATGGTTCTGTATGAGTGGCAGATGCGTGTGGGGGCACTCGTGCAAATGGAGCTTCACAAACAAGTGCAAACACCCATCGCTCGCACAAGAGGAGCTGTGCACACACACATGCTTGCCCACTGCTTGTACAGTTGGTTCTGAACAGGCCATGGCCCATCGTAGTAATGGGCCTCAGCCCAGAGGTTGGGGACCCCTGTATTACACAATTCCACAGTTCCCAAAAAATTGGTATTTATTACATTCTAAAGGAATGATATTTAATTGTCCAAAATAGGCAGTCAGGAGTGCTATCCAAGTTGGAAAATAGTATTTTAAATGGAATCTAAGGATCCTCAAAGGGATCTAAAGAAATTAAGATCTTAGATGGAAATTGGGATTTTAGAAGAAGCCCTATAACAGGGGTGTCAAACTGCCGGCCCGTGGGCTGGACACGTCACCAGGAAACCATGCCCACCCCATTGCTGGCAATGGAGAAAAAGCTCCGATACGTTACATGATGTCGCAAGTTTGAAATGTCTGCCCTATAAGGTAACAGTTATTTCCCATCTTCAACCAATGAGAGATTGATAGCATCATCCTGATATGGCTAAACAAGCCTCAAAGGCAGGTGCTAAGTATCAGTTACGATCATTTTGGTTGAACTAAAATATTAGGGATTCTCTTTCTATAACAAAAAAGGGAGGCAATGCTGAAAACTTTCAATCTGGAAAAATATTTTAAAGAAAATGTATAGGGCCATCTAACTCACTCTCAGTGACTCTGGGCAACTTGCAACTTAAATATTTAAAATGTTTCTTTCATCCCATAATATCTGCCCAACCAGTGGACCCCATTTTCCATCTCCTCAATGACAGAAGCTACAATTTTTCAGGAGATCTCTGTGGAAGCATTCCATTTTCCTGTTGCTTAGAACTTATCTGGAATGCTGAGGTGGAAAAAAGAGGCTTTATTTCCTAACTGGAATTCCTATTTATTTAGTTGATTCTTTTTAAAAACTGTCCTATTAATACTATTCAAAATATCATAAAATTATTAGCAGATAATTTGTGAATAAAATTGTTACACAAAATGAATGTTTAAATATATGATTCAAATCAGAAAGTGAAAAAAAACACTCTTTCATTGTTGCCATTCCACCATCCCAGCTGTGTTTTCAAATATTACCCCAGTTTCAAGAACCATTGCTCCATCTGCTGCCAGAGATGAGAAATGGCACTGTAATCATTAAAAACCTGTTAGCAAAATATTAGTGCAAAAAAAATTTTTTTAAGGTTTTTTTTATCCCACCTTTATTATCCTTATAAACAATTCAAGGTGGCAAACATACCTAATATGTCTTCCTCTTCCTATTCATGCAGACTATTCCTATTCCTACAGACAATACAAAATTTATGATATGAAATAATAAAGTTGTTTTTGAGCATATACAAAGCGTGTTTCCATTACTATAAACTACTATCCATGTTCTAAACATTTAGTTTTTAGAGCAAATCAACAAGGTCACATGGTTTAATTGTTCAGTGGATTTGAGATTTAAAGATTAAGAATTTCTGACCCCTAAATGTTTACTATATAAAAATAATTTATTAAATAATACTTTAAGTAATAATACAGATAGTCCTTGACATACAATCATTCATTTAGTAACTGTTCAAAATTACAACTGCACTGAAAAAAGTGACTTGCAACCAGTATGAAACGGTACATAACGTTTAGAACCATTGCAACATCCCCACGATCACATTATCAAAATTTGGATGCTTGGCAACCAGCTTGTATTTACAACAATTGTAGCATCCTGAGGTTATGTGATCACCATTTGCAACTTTCTCAGCCACTTCCAACAAGCAAAGTCAATGTGGGAAGCCAGACTCACTTAACCACCGTGTTATTCACTTCATGCAGTGATTCACTTAACAACCATAGCAAAAAACATTATAAAATCAGGCACAAGTCACTTAGCAACCGCTTTGCTTAGCAAGTCCTGGCTCCAATTGTGATCATAAGTCAAGGACTACCTGTACTACAAATAACAATAAAAGCTAATAACAACAATAATAATTTCATTAAAATATGAAAAACATTTTAATATTGATATCATTAATGGGAAAGTTGCATCTGATGAGCATCAAGAAGAGCACTGATATATAGTTAGAAATTGGTGAATTTTAGTCATAAATCATGATGTTCTTCCGGGTTTGGACTGTTCCTATTGACCACCAGCCATTTATCAATCCTTTGGATAGTCCCATCAATCTTGGGGATCAATATTGAGCACTTTGGGACACCCTGGACATAGATTTGCACATTTAGGAACCAATACAGTAGGTATTAGAGCTTTAATATATCTTGATTTCAAAACATAACGCTTTACTTTAAAAATTATAATCTGTGTTGCAAGCTGAGATGAGTTTAGGGAAATCTGCTGTTTATTAGAATCCCCTTGACCCAAGAACCTGTCAAAAAAATGTAAATAAAATGGCATATTTATGAGATTTCACACTCCGGGTTATCCTGTTTATAGGCAGGGTCATAGTCCTGGATAAGATCCCGTAATCTATATGTGCCTCTTCTTCTAACCCTACCCCTGTCAAAGCAAGCATCCACTTTATGTATTTGTCATACTTCCTGCTAAGAAATTGGGAACTGTCATTTCAGGAACAGACCGAGCAAAACATAGCAAGAATAGTTGGTCTGAATTGGCTTCAAGTGAGTTTATTTACTTAATAGTTTAGTATGTGCTTTCTCCATGCTTAAACTGCAAGATACTTACTGGAAATGCCATCCTTTTGGCAGGGAATCGGACATACATGCATCCAGATTCTCCCAACACTGGAGCACATTGGATGCGACAGGAAATATCCTTTGGGAAACTGAAACTCACCAACAATAAAGGAGCATCAAACAATATCACCCAGGTAACGAGTTCTTGAATCTGGCTTTTATCCATCATGTCAGCATTGCTATTAAAAAATCCAGGACTGTTATTGGGGTGGAATATGTTCAGCTGCAACTCACAGATCATGTATGAATGAATCATGTCCCGTGTATTTGGCAGATGATTGTACTGCAGTCCTTACACAAGTATCAGCCTCGCCTGCATGTTACTGAGGCCAAGCAGGGTGAAGTGGACGAGGTGCATCCCTCAATCTGCACCCAGACCTTTACTTTTCCTGAGACTCAGTTCATCGCGGTTACTGCATACCAAAATGCTGATGTAAGTTTACATGAGAAGGAGTATCGCACCCTTTCACTCTTTGTATGGCAGAAGGGTAAGAAGGTGGTGGCAAAGTTGGAAAATATTTATTTGCTTGTTTGTAGTATTTCTATCCCACCATTCCTATAAAACTTCATACACTCCTGGCTTCCAACTCCCATTTCATCTTCATGGTATTCCTGTGAGGGACTTTAGGGCTATATGTGGTAATGGGTTCAAATTATCTATAGCTAGCCCTCATTTAGCAACAGAATTGGGACCAGCAAACTGGTTGTTAAGCAAAGCGATTGCTAAGTGAGATTGTGATTGGGCTTATAATCTTACTAAAGCTTTCCTTTGCTTTACAGACCTTTAAAGGCTGTAAAAGGGAGGATGTGTTGCAAGCTTACTTTTTTTCATCACTATCATAACTGCAAACAATTGCTAAATGAGCCAATCACTAAAAGAGGATTATTGTATTGAGTGCCATGACTTAGCTAGGATTTGAATCTGGATCTCCCTAGTCTTAGTCTTAGTCTAACCTAACCACCACATCACCGACTGGCTGGAGGAACTTAATAATTAAAGTAGTTTAGTTAGGGAAAGTTATTCTTTAACAATCACCCTGTTAATAAATATCCTTTTGGCAAGAACACATCAGTTAATTTAGAAAAGTAAAACACAACAGTGTTTGCAGGCAAAGAATGACTGAGTACACTTGAAGTTCTGTGAAGTAACACAAGCATCAAAAACCGATTATATCATAGCATACAATAGTTATTTATTCTTAAGGAGTCCCTGCGGATTTTAGCCCACTAGATCAGTGGTTCTCAACCTTTTTAATGCCGCGACCCCCAACTGGTCTTAAGTCGAGGACTACTCAACCAGTCGTAAGTCGAGGACTACTCAACTGGTGCAGCACCGTTTGCAGAATGGGACTTTTGGCGGGCTCAGCAGGGCAGAGACAGCCTGGACAATTCCTATTGGCTTTTGAAAGCCAATAGAATTAGACTCTATTCAAGAGAGTCTATTCTACTGGCTTTCAAAAGTCAATAGAATAAAAGGGAGTAGCACAGCTAAGGAAAAGGGGAAAAAAATGGCAGACTGCATTGTTTGGCAACCCCCGTGAAATGGTCGTTCGACCCCAAATGGGGTCCCAACCCACAGGTTGAGAACCATTGCACTAGATGTTGCCACTTATAGGGGGCAGTGCTCACTTCTGTTTTTAGGCCATTGAGCAAGCACTGTCCAAAGACATTTCCATAATCAGATGGCCAGCATGAAGTCACAGAATGCAGTTATCCATCCTGTTGTGTACTTCGTTCGCGTGCAAATGATGAAGACACATGGCGATGCTGAACAAACACTTTATTCTCCTTCTACAACAACCAAGCAAAAGCAAAAGGCACACAGGCCTTTTTATATGGCCAGAAACCCAGACAGTGTCAACAAATAAGAACAGCGTTTTTGCGCCTTGCGCAAGGCTGGTGCTGCTCTGTCTGGTCCCCGGGCAGCTTTTGGAATGCCCGGGACCAATGCAATGTCCTGAGCCTGCTTTTGCAGGCTCAGGACACAACACCCCTCCCCACTAGATGGAACATACTTCACGTACACTCATGTACATCATGCATTGGGAAGAGTGGCATACAGTTGCATTATTCAAATGCAAGGAGTGTGGACTACTTGAGTCTGCCCTCAGGCAAACTCTCTTCAATATTAATTCAATAAATGTATCCAAAATAAAAAAAATAATACAAAATAATCTACCCACGAGTTACTCCTGTTATTCAGGGGCCTCATCAACAGGAACCTCATGATTTGACAGCAACTTTACAAAGTCTCTCAGATGTTTGGGTGAGCACTTGGCCTGCTGCGACCTTCTAAGGCCCGGAGAGATTGCCGGGGCCACCTGCTTGCCTACCAAGCTAGGCAGGCCAGGGCATTGCTACCCTAAATCCTAGGTGACCCTGGTGAGGGTGCCTGGCCTACCTGCTCACCTACCAGGCTAGGCAGGCCAGGACTTTGCTGCCCCAAATACCCGGTTGACCCGCCCAGCTGCTGGCTGGCTGGACCCTCTAAGTCCAAGCCAGCATACCTTGGAGGGGTAGAAGTCCCCAAATCCACAATGGACCCCTCTTGGGAACACTGTCCCTCGAGCCCAAGGCCAGCAGATGGAGAGGGCTGGGTAGCAGAAGTGCCCCAGTACTCTGTGGCCTCCAAGCACGTGCCCGAGGTGCCAGAGTCAGGAGTCGCCTCCATGGCAACTCCCTTTGCTGGTGACTTCCTTTTGGGAGCAATTGCGGAATGAGGCAAGCACCCCTGATGGAATTCCTTTTCTCTTGCTGCTTGTGATTTGTGTGGATACCCCCGGTCAGTCTCCCTGTCTGGAGCACTATCTGACATATGTGAATACTGTGGATATCCCTGGTGTGACTCCCTGTCTGGAGTAATTATGGATGTGTGGGATGATCCCCTATCCAGTGAATTCCTGCTTGGAGCACTTGCAGAACCTTGGGATGAATCCCAAACAGCCTCAGTAGCAGCTAATGAGGGCCTGTTAGTCCTGGGAAACTGTAACCCAGAATGCATACTATGGTCCTCCTTCCCCCCTAGAGCAGAGCCAGGAGCGGAAGGGTGCGAGTCCAGTCTGCAACGCAGTTGGTCTATGTGTCTGCGAAGAACGCGGCCATCACCCAAGGCAACTTTGTATGACAACAGCCCCGAGATCTTGCAGACCACAGCTATGGCCCAGAGATGTCCAGGCCCATAGTTCCTTGCCCAAACCGGATTGCTTACCTGGAGTCTCCTAGGCGCCTGCGGTTGTGACACCTGTGAAGCCACCCGATCAGGGTGCAGCCTGTCCAGTTTAGTGATGAGGCGGCGACCCCAGCAGAGTTCAGCAGGGCTCTTCCCTTTGGCTGTGCATGGTGTGGTGCGGTGTGCAAGAAGGAAATCTGCTAACCTGTGATGCCAGGTACCGTAAGTCAATTTCTTGAGGGCATCTTTGCTGGTGTGCACCATTCTCTCTGCCAGTCCGTTGGAGGATGGATGGAAGGGAGTCGATGTTGCATGCCGGATCATGTTGGCCTGAAGAAAAGCCTGGAACTCAGAAGAGGTAAATTGAGGGCCATTATCCAAAACCAGCACATCTGGAAGACCATGTGATGCAAAAATTCTTCTCAACACCTGGATGGTCCTGGCAGTAGTAGTGGAGGAAACAGGAACAACCTCTAGCCACTTGGAATGGCTATCAACAACAACCAGGAAGAATTGCCCCTGAAAGGGCCCAGCATAATCTATATGCACCCTAGACCATGGGGTTTGAGTTTCCTCCCACCTATGTATTGGGGCCTGTGGCATTTCAAGCCGAGACTGTTGGCACACTTGGCACCCGTGCACCTGGGCCTCGATGGCTTTATCGAGCCCAGGCCACCAAAGATGGCTGCGCGCAAGCGCTTTCATCCTGACTATACCAGGATTTCCCTCATGCAGAGAGATCAAGATTCTAGATCTCAATGAGGGTGGAATCACTACCCTGCTACCCCATAACAGGCAACCCTTGAAAGTGGAAAACTCATGCTTCTTGTGCCAGAAGCTTTGGAACTCAGTATCTGGTCACTTGACAGGCCATCCTGACAACACCCTGTCAGCACGCATGTAAGCGTGTGATCAGTGGCAGTTTCTGCAGCCACATCCCTAGCATTGAGAGGAGACTCAGGCAACTCCCGAATGGAAAGAATATTAATGGCTGGAGCAGGATCTGGCTCTAATTGGTTCAGGGGTAATCTGCTTAGGCCATCTGCATGACCCATTTCTTTTCCTGGTTTGTGAACTAATGTATAGTAATATGCTGACAGAAAAATGGACCATCTCACCATATGAGGAGAAATGATATGTGGGGTCTATTTGTTAGTGGTAAACAAACCCAGCAGAGGTTTATGGTCAGTATACACCGTGAAATGGCGGCCATATAAGAAATCATGAAATTTCTTAATGCCAGCCACTATGGCCAAGGCTTCTCTGTCAATTTGAGCATAATTTTGCTCTGCAAAGGACAGAGTCTTTGAATAATAGGCCACAGGGACTTGTGTCCCATCAGCCTTCAAATGGCTAAGTACAGCTCCCACCCCATAAGGAGCTGCATCGCATGTGATGCAAACAGGCAGTTGCTAATTGAAATGCGCTAAAACAGCATTAGAAGTGAGCAAGGCCTTAACCTCATTGAAACTCTTGTCGTGGACTTTAGTCCACTGCCAAGGAGCCTGCTTGTCTAAGAGCCTGTGTAATGGCTCTGCCACTGCAGCTTTATGTGGGAGAAATGCATGGTAAAAATTTAATAGCCCCAAGAAGGCTTGCAGCTCACTCTTAGACTTAGGGCTTGGGGCTTGCTGGATAGCTTGCAATTTAGTTTCAGCAGGGTGAATGCCTTGAGCATCAATCCTGAATCCTAAGAAGTCAGTAGAAGTGACTCCTATCTTACATTTATCCTTCTTTAGTTTAAGGCCTGCTTTTCGAAAATGAAGCAAGACAGCCATTAATCTTTCTGCTAAATTTTGAGATGACTCCCCAGCAATGAGGACGTCATCGAAGTAGAGACAGATACCAGGGATACCTCGAAGTATGCTCTCCATGACACTTTGGAATATGCCAGAGGCTACATTTACCCCAAATTGCAGTCTCTTGACCTTGAAGGCCCCCCTGTGAGTTACAATAGTCTGGGCCTCTGCAGCTGCCTCATCAACAGGTAGCTGTTGATAGGCCTGTGCCAGGTCAAGCTTTGCAAAAATGCGACCCCCCCTTGAGGGAGGCCAGAATGTGATTTACCACAGGCACTGGATAAGCATGCTGTTGCAGCGCCTTATTCAGTGTGTATTTATAGTCTGCACATATACCTATGTCCCCATTAGCTTTAGAGACATTACTATGAGGATTTCCCATGGACTTGAATCCACAGGCTCTAGAATGCCCTGCTGGAGTAATTTTCCAGCTCAGCATCAATCTTACCTTTGAGGGCAAAAGGTACTCTCCTAGGCTTAACCCTGGTGGGCGTGATGGTTGGGTCTAACCTTAGCGAAATGGTAGGCCCCTTGTAGGATCCTAGCTCTGAACTAAACACATCTGCAAACTCCTTGCAAACCTCTGCAAGGCCCAGCATTTGCAAGCTGTGCAGCCCAGTTACCTGGATTCCCAGAGCCTCGAACCAATCGAGTCCAATAAGACTCGTACGTTCACCCCCAACAACCACATCTAGGGAACCTTCAAAATCCTTATACTGTACCCTAAGGGTGGCCTCCCCCTTAACACACACCACAGAATTTTGAAAATCAGTGAGTATTAGATTCGATGGCCTGAGTTTAACTCGAAGGCCACTACTGCTGCAAATCCTTTTAAAGGTATTAATTGAAATAATGGAAAGAGCGGACCCAGTGTCCAACTCCATCAGTAAGGGAACCCCTTGCAGCCTTACGTTAATGGAAAGTTTCTTCTTAAGGGGCTTGTGTGTCCCTGTTCTTAGAATGCTCCTGCGCGATGTGCAGAAACCCACCCTGTTTTGGCTGGGGACCCTGGTACCTTTCTAAAGCAATTCTTCCCGAGGTTGAACTTTCTGGCGACCCAAACAGACGGATGCAATGTGACCCTGCCTGCCACACGCCCTGCAAATGGCGAAGCGAAACCTGCAGTCAGCTCGCTTGTGGCATCCTCCGCACCCGAAGCATTGAAGCGATGCTGGGGTCTTGACCGGACATCCCTTCTGCCTCCTCTCAGCTGGCTGGTGAAGTCTATCAACCTCCTCTTCAGGATCCACTTCTGATCCTTCTCAAGCATCCTCTTGATGGACAGTAGCTGTGTCTGGAAGATTCCTGGCGAGGTGTAATGCCTTCACAGCCCCGCCTGCTGCTTCCTCAGCTGCCATCTCTCACAACGCATCTTGGAAGGAGACATCTTCTTTTGCAAAAATCTTTTGTTGTAAGTCTTTGCTCCTTAAGCCACAGACAAAACAATCTTGCAACCTCTCTTCCAGATCCTTGAACTCACAAGGTCTGGCTGCTTGCCTTAAGGCCACAATAAAGTCCGCAACAGATTCACCCGGCCTCTAGTCTCTCTGCTCGAATGCGTGCCTCCAAGCAATGATGGATAACTTCAGCTGGAAATGTTCCTTCAACATTTTCTTCAAGTCAGTATATGTTACTGACTCCAGAGATGCAGGGGCCACCAGATTTTCTGCGATGTCAAAAGCTTCCTGTCCACAGGCACACAAAAGAATTGCTGCCTTCAAGGCATCTTCTCTAATCTGATTTACTCGGAAGTAATTCTCCACCCGTGCTACGTAGGAATTCCATCTCTCTGGGTGGGAGACATTGAAATCAGTCAACCAATCTTCGACATCGTAAGCTTTACGACCTTCACCACTCACTTCTTCTAAAAGCTGCTGTTGGGGAAAGGGTCCTTTAGTCGAGCTCAACCTCCAGCAACACTGTACTGGTAGGCTGGGACGCTGATTCAGACGCTGTCTTCCCCTCTTCAGGACTTCCTGGGTAAGTTCTCAAATCTTTTGTTCCAGCTTATAAAGGATCCCACCTTTGTTGCCAGTTTTGTGTACTTCATTCGCGTGCGAATGATGAAGACACATGGTGATGCTGAACAAACACTTTATTCTCCTTCTACAACAACCAAGCAAAAGCAAAAGGCACACAGGCCTTTTTATATGGCCAGAAACCCAGACAGTGTCAACCAATAAGAACAGAGCATTTTCACGCCTTGCACATGCACACAAGGCTGGCGCCGCTCTGTCTGGTCCCTGGGCAACTTTTGGAATGCCCGGGACCAATGCAACATCCCGAGCCTGCTTTTGCAGGCTCAGGACACAACACATCCCACCTAAATGGTACCTATTTATCTACTCACATTTGCATGCTAGGTTGGCAGGAGCTGGAGCAGTGACGGGAGCTCAACCCGTCACATGGCTCTCACGTCTTGAACCTGAGCTGTCAGCTTTTCAAACACAGTTCCTTAATCACTGAGCCACTGCACCACCCCACATACAATATGAAATCCAAAATAATAGTAACTGTAGTATAGTAGTACTAGTTATAGTAGTAGTAAACCCAGGATTTGATAAATGAATACAAATGCCAAATCCAGTCTAAACATGTGACGAACAACAACAATAATAACAACAACAATAATCAACAGATTATAGAAAAAATAATGAGATATTATGATCTGCAAATTGAAGTTGAGCCATTGTGGAGGAAGAAATCAATGGTTGTACCAATAGTAATAGGAGCCCTTGGAGCAATACCCAAAGGGCTGCCTAGACACATGGAAATTTTGAACTTATCTGACCTGAATATTTGACTTTGCAAAAAAACACCTTGCTCAGAACTGTCTATATACTGAGACATTACCTTAACAACTCCTAAGTCCTTGATTAGGACTTGAATTGTTAAGTTTTTACCAGCCCTATATTGTGAATCAAATTGAAGATTAACTGTATTATTGTTGTTGTTGTTGTGTTGGATGAGATGAGATAGCTAAACTCATTCCTTTTCGGTATTATGGTATAAATACTATATATGCTATAAATACTGTACTGTACTATACTATACTATACTATACTATACTATACTATACTATACTATACTATACTATACTATACTATTACTAATACTATACTACACTACACCACACTATACTATAAATAAAATTTATAGCTACTATTTTCTCAGTTTCCTTGATTTTTTTCTAGATCACTCAGCTGAAAATAGATCATAACCCTTTTGCTAAAGGCTTCCGCGATAATTTTGATACGTAAGTCTATTGCATTTTCTTCCAATTTCTTAATGTATTCATTAGCATTTCATGACCCCTTTTAATTCTATTTGAATGTAACACCCTCTGCCTCTTCTAGGTGTGTTATCAATTTAATCATTGCATAGAAATGGTTAAAGAACTATGCCAAACTGTAGTTTGATATGGTTTCTTAATTGCACAGTAATTAGTATATTACATGGGTTGCAGTGGGGAGTTAACAAGCAAAAATTGTAGTGGATAATCTGGTATTCTCCAGAGATCCAAAGATATAGCATCCATAATCCTTGTTTATTAATTATGCTATCTGGAATATATGTGAGCTGTATGTGGAGGATAGCCAACTGTCTATCCTAGAGCAGGACAATCAGGTACTATGACTTGAAATAGGCTTGAAATCCAATCTAGTGCCCAAGAATGAGCTCTTTGATTGTCTTTCCTAACTATCTGGTGCAGATTCCTTGTCTCACACCCACTTGTTGTTTTTCTCTCTCTACTCTCCACCCTTTGCCAGGATGTATACCACAACCGAGGGAGATCGCACAACCCCATCTCCACCCAGTGTGGCCAGCTGCCAACAGCTCCTGTCAGGCAGCCGGTTCCAGCCTTTCTTGCATGACCAGTTTCCACTGCCCCAGAGCCGCTTCTTCAATCGAGAATGTGTCCCACTCCCTCTGCCACCCAAGGATCCTCCCCACTGGTATTTTGCTTCACAACAGCCTCCCCCTGCTTCCCTGGAATATGGTGCCTATGAGGGAGACTTCCGAGGGAACAAATTTATGCCCTATGGGGTAAAGCCATTTGCTCTCCAGCCGGCTTCCCACTCCTCCTTGCCCTATTATCAGGACCACCCATTTGGTCCACCTCCTGCATGGAGTTCGCCACCTCAGTACCACCATCCCAAGCCCAATCCGGGGCCCCTGAGCTGGTTCCGGCCCATGCGGGATTTGCAGGCCTTGCCTGCTGGAGAGGAGAAAGGGAAGGACAATGAGGGCTGGGCTGAACCAGGCTCAGTGAAGTCTGCAGATTCGTCAGACTCTGGCTTATACGAAGCTGAGTGTAAGCGTCGCAGAGTGTCTCCATATGTCTCAAGTGCTGAAAGTTCCCCACCTCTCCGCAATGGGGAGCTCTATGACAAAGAAAGTGGTGGGGACAGTGGTTATTATGGGTTCTATGGCAACTAAGAGAAGTCAGAGAGGTGGAATAGCAAAGGATGGGGAGGGGGGTTTCTACAGAGGTAACTTTGTATCAGAGATTCCCTGTAAGATGCATCTCTTTGTGGGGAATAGTCCACTCCTCCATGGGCACTGCCAAAAGTATCGCTAAGTCATAGATTGAGGTTCTTTGTAATCACACTTCTTTATTCTACAGTTTCCAGGTGGTAGTCTTCTGATGTTAAACATGCATTCATTGCGACATTTGTGGATCTAAGTGATGCAAGCTTTCATGGTGAGCCCAGATCTTGGCTCTTGGATTCCCTTATATTCATGTATAAGAGCTTTTGCTTGTGTGTGGCAAATGACAAGGACAGACACACTCCAGTAGAAATGCATCAACGCAACACATCTGCAGTTTCTCTTCACATACTGTAGCTATTTTCAATTTTGCTTCTAAGCTCTGCCATTTCTGCATATTGTTGAGCAATGAGAAACAATTTTATCTTCTTAAATGCATTGAAATGTTTAGCAAATATTAAGATGTGAAATTTGACATGGAGAGAGCTGATAAACTCACACATGTGCACAAATACTTCTTAATTCTAAAGTGCATGCCATAGTATCAGCTTGCTGGTTTCAGTTGTTCTGATTTATTAGAGATTGGCGCAGCAAAGTAGGCCTCAATCTGTTAAGTATCACCTGCTGAATTAGAAACCATGAATACAACTCAGCTGTGCGTCTGTCTGAGGATGCAATCTCTCTGCAGCACTTTGCTTTAAAGGGGATATGCATTTTGTGCCTTTGAATGAGTACAAATGGACCTCTTCTGTCCTTGCACAGCTAGTAACATATCAATGTCTTTATTGTAACTAAATTTAGGACAATGTAATTACACTCCAGTCTCTACCTATCTATCCTTTTTAAGATCCCCACAATCCATTAACATATCATTGGGATTACTGTGGATAGTAAGACTGAAATAAAATTATGGCAAGCAATTTGGAATTTGGAAAAATGTTTTTGGTACAAAATAAAAATGTACTATTCCTACATTTTATTTCAATTCTGCATGCTTGGTTTCAAAATCAAGGTTCTGTTGGTCCAACCCACCCAGGGATTGATAACCTCAAATGTCTTTTTAACAGAGCTCAGCATATATATCTGATCACATACAGATGTGCTGTGTTCTCATTGCTTTGGGTTCACTTGGATGAATACTTGAATTAAAGAAATCAGCCACTTATGCAGTATAAGAAAAGAGGAAATGTATTCCCCCCCCCCAAAAAAAAACAAAGGATGGTATAGATACACAAACTCATATAGACATATATACATGCAAATTTGGGAACTGATACAAATAAATGCAATATATCTTAAAACAGTGGGAAAAGCTTCCACCAGTACAGCTGTTGGTCAATCTGCTATATACAAAGATTGTTGTTGTTGTTTGCCAATTTATATGCCCTTGCTATCCCTTTGATATTTTTTTTAAAAAATCTTTTAATTTGATTTTAGCTGTACCTTCTTTCAAACAGAAAAGGCTTTCAAAAAATCTGATTCCCTCTGAGAAGTCTTAAGATAAATAATTTTATCTCTAAAGTTAAGTTCAATAATGACCTAGCCAAGATAAGATTGCAGTTAGTTTACATATGCAAAAACCATAGGTTACAGTAATAATTTCATTGTTATCATAGAACACTATGTCTCTAATTATGAACTAGAAATAACAAAACTTGTTCTGTGGCAAAACAAACCAACCAATCCTAAATCAAGAGTAGCTGAACCTGAGAGATGGGTCTTTGTGCACAAGCTTATTCCACTTAGTAATCTGATTTAGTAATCCAGTGTATCGCCTCATGTAAAGAAATGTAAAGAAATCAGGAATTTAGCAGTTCTGGGGATTCATAACTCAGCTCTAGGACAAAACGTACACAGGTATGCAAATATGTATTCTCTACTATGCATACTTAGGCCATATGGACAATGCTGAAGTTCTTTGGGACTCTGGGATGGTTTAAAACTTAGTTAAACAAGAAGATTCTGTACTATGACTTCATTTTAAATTTCCTAGCACATGGGTCCCCAACGCCTGGATGGTGGCCCATTCTGAACCAGGCTGCTCAAGAGGCAGGCAAGTGTGCAGGTATGCAGCTTCACTCACACAAGCAGCAGGCTCTTGCACTCCCTCTTGAAGCTCCATTTGCGCAAGCAGTGGGTGTATGTATCTGCCACTCACACAAATGGACCTCTGCGTGCACGGGCGTCTGCCACTCACATGGAAACATCCCCTCTCCTCCCACCTGCGCCGGGCCACCAAGCCAGAAAGGTTGGGGACTGCTGTCCTAGGAAGCAAAGTATTGCTGATAAAATGTCATTCACCATGAATCCCTTTCTAATACCTGAATTCTAAAAGATTGAACAGGTTGTTTGTAGGTCTTCTACATTGCAAATGTTTGCTGCCATTTTTGCTTGCTATCTTATGTCCCAGTCCAGATTTCAACCACAGAGAACAGCAAAGACCAGATGTAATCAGCATTCAGGAATAGATTTCCCAAGGAGTCTCCCTACTCCTCTCTTCTGAAAATTGGTGGTGCAGGCAAAGGGAGAAAAAAATTACCTCTTGTTGTATGCAAAATCAGAATTACCATATCAAACTTTTTTGGTTGGATTTTGTAGTATTTGCCATAATTTTCAGGCAAATGCAACAAGCATATCCTCCAGTTTAGAGTATTTTCCAAAGCCAAAGGCAAAGAAGTTGTCAACCCTCAGGCTATTATCCTACGCATGGTATCCCCCGTCCACTGAATTCTTTTAAATACTGAAAAATGTCCCAGTGGGTTGGCCTACCTGATCATTTATAAAACCCTATCTAAATAATTAGCTTTATGGACAATGGGCAGAGGCAGAGATAGGTTGTATTTTTATATTTCAACCTGTTCCTTTAGAAAGATTTTCCCTCCCCAATAAATCTTGTTAGTAATTTATAAGCCCTGATCCTGGAAACACTTGATGGTCATTTGGTAATTATGCTAGACAATCAAAAGGGACACTCCCCTCTTAAAGTCTCTTGTTGGCCCAATAACTTCTGCTGAATCACCTTGGGATGGTGATGGTCAGATTCAGCTGTTTACACTCTTAAAGATAACAAAAAAGATGTAGATGTAAAAGAGAAAATGATCTTTGTGGTGTTTTGAAGTTCTCTTTTCTAATTTTATTTTTCAGGACAACAAAATCTTTATGGTTGCAAATATTTATTGAAAGTAGTGTACAGGCTCTGTGAGATTTGTTTTTGGGCTTAAGGATTTCTTTAAATAAATTGTCGCACATTGGAATGTGTATCATGTGAACATGTATGTTTTTCATTCCTTGGGGACACCATCATTATAGTAATTCTATACATATACAGTATTGGCCATATCCTCAGAGACAGAAGTGATCGCAGCAACCCACCTTGCAGGGAAGTGGGGATCAGCAACTGCTAATGGAATTTGAGCCACATAGCTTATGCTACCTTCCCCAATGAATATTGCTCCTCTGAGTTATCTTGGACCACTATTGGTTGGGAAGAATATTCATTGACCTACCTGATCTGCTTCTGAACATGCGTTCATGTGTCTGCAAATGCATGAACCATACTGTCCTTCAGACAGCAAAATATTTGGGAGCAGTTCTGCTTCAGGGATGGCATTTAAATTATCACATAAATGTTATTCTGCTGGGATGCTATGAGCTTTTTCCAGAGATATGATTTCAAAAATGAGCCTCTAGCTCTTTCATAAGCCATAAGGAGCTTTTAAGAGGTAACGTTTCCTTCAAGCAGATTTCAATTCTTGGTGATCTCACAGATTCAGCTAGTGTCTTCGTAATAGAACTGAAGTGTCTTCGTATGATTTCACATTTCTTCTATTTGGATCAGGAAATAATTGATGTACCATGAGGCACCACAAACTCCTTTACACTGTGCACAGCTCTCGTTCTCAGCAGTCTGAGGATGGGGGTGAGGGTAAAACTTTGGCCTGAACATGTGAGACTATAAATATGGCTTACATGACCAAGAATACCCGTCTTCCCAATTTTTATTCATACTTTACACAATATGCTTGTTTACAGTAAATGGAGATGTCATACTGCATAATGAACCCATAAACAAATCATACAGTAGACTAAAATGTGGATGCTTAGTCTGCGCTGCATATCATATAAATGGCCCTCAATAAATTTAGGCCATTGGGAGAAATCCTAGATCAGAACTCTCCCTCAATAGGCCATGATTCAAACATGGCACCCTATCACTACCCTGTGCTCTCTGTAGGCCAAAATCATAACTGATTATTAAAATAGTCCATGAAATCAACAAAGGTGCTGGTCTTCGAGTTAAAATGCTAGGATTAAATTTAATAATACTGGACAGGATGAGAGAAGAGGGCAGACTCTCCATCAAAGTATTTTTTCTTTTAGGTCCAAACATGGGTTCTGGTGTTAAATTTGGTTTTTGCAGTGGGGGTTTGCACATTACTACATTAGACTAAAATCAGTTGAGTGGCTTAATATGTTTGAAGAATCCAGTCATAGTCTTACCACATTATGTGAACTAGGACACCATATTAAGCCATACTATAGTTTGATGAGCAGAAGAAAGCACTTTCCAGCACACCCAACCATTTGATTTTTCTAATTTTGAGAAATGTTAATAGATGAAAATAGTCTCACAGCAACCAAGAGACTGGGCCACTGATAAGCAAATGCTGGGGTTCACTATAATCACATTAGGCATTCATCAATTTCCTCATGCAAACTATTTCCCCAGGCCCAGTACATTTCTTACTTCCTGCAACATGAAGATAAAAATATTAGATTATTTTCTTAGATAACAATACTGAAGCAAAATACAATTATTTCTTATTCTGTCAAAATATATCTAAAGCATACCAGGTCTAATGCTCTGTGTAGGACTATTTCAGCAAAATCTATATCAGAGGATTTGCCTCCAAAATAGGATTCATAATTAGAAAGTAGAGACTAAATAATTTCAAGAGCTTCATCAAATTCACGCCTAAATATGGCAGCTCTGAAAAAAATGAGCCTATAAGGAATACTAAAATAACATGTTAAGCACATTGATCATTTCTACTACCCTTCTAATAGTTGCTGAATTCTAACATTGTCCATCTTTTGTAATTAAGCAGAGTGATCGGAGATGAATAATGGAAATTGGAATACAACCATTTCTGGAGACAACAGTTTCACTGCCCCTATTGTTATAAATACTAGGACTGTGTAAAACATTTAAAAGAGGTAATCATGTCTTTTACAAGGCTGCCATAGCTGCAGCAGAAACTGCTTTTAACTATCTCCATATACTGTACATGTGCAGGTTCAGTCAATTCATTGATTGTCCTAGTGCAAACCCACAACACCAGGAAGTTTCAAAGCCGCCATGAAAATCTTGTAAAAATCACAGCCACTTTAACAGTCCTAAAAAAATATATTATTTTTCCAGTGTTCTGAATCACTTTCTGCCTTCAGAAATTGTGGACGCTCCATCACTGGAGATTTTTTTTAAAGAGACCTTCTTCAAATGATTTATATATAGTCATTAAGTACTCTACTTAATGACTGATTGATCACTTAATGACTGATTGATCACTTGAAATTATGATGGACCTCCTAAGACCCATTTTCTAAGTTATGATGACTGCATATAACCCACCCACCCCCCACCCCTCCACAGAAATGCAATTGCATTTTGGGCACTTGGCAACCAGCTCACCTTTATGGCTATTTGCAGGATCCCACAGTCATATGACCACGATATGCAATGTTTTTTGCCCACTTCTGTTTTCTGGCACAAAGTGCCAATGGAAAAAAATGAATTCACTTAATGACCATGGTGCTTGTTTAACAATCATTATAAAAATGGCTGTAATTTTGAATCCAGTCATGTGTTGCCTCAATTTATGACAATTTAATTCCGGGCTCAATTATGGTTTTAAGTCAAGCTCTACCTGTAAACTGAAAGATTGCTAAGCACATATTGTTTTAAATTAATATTCATGAGAGACACATATCCGAAAGACTAGAAAATAAGCATCCATTTTAAAAATGACTCCCCCACACTAGAACTTTCCAAACTCTTTTTAATTAGACATGCCATTGATTGTTCAAGCTACAGTATAAGGACATAGGCCAATTAATATAAACATAAAAGATGGAGTAGAAACTCAGGACCGGACCTGCCGGAAGAGGCAAATGAAAGCAGGTTGACCTGCACTTGGGAAAGACAAAACATTAAAGACACTCAAGCACACAGAGAGGGCCAGACTCACACAGAGGACATTTACTCGACCGTGTATGATTGAATTTTTTAAGTGCAGGTCACAGGGAAAAAAACATTCTTCCCTGCATGCAGCAGTCATCACATCATTGTATCAAATAGCAAAATAAAAGGATCCAAATTGAACCTTACAAGCTAAAAGAGCTTCTTGCCCCCCAACATAATATGGGAATCACATGGAAATAAATTCTTCCAGATCTTTTCCTACAAGCTTAGTATAAGACTCAACACAATTTTACCCAAACACACCAATCCACAATATCTCATAGCAAATTTGGAAGTCAAAGTACTTCCCAGGAATTCAGTGAGTGATGTTATGCTGGGTTAATAAACAAGCCAAGAGAGATGGTAGTGTGTCCAAAGTTGTCCCAGGAGACACTGATCAGCACAATGTTTGATATTCTACAATCCAAAGTGCTAGCAACAAAGCCTTCCTTCATAATGATCTGTGATGAAAGAGTCAGTTTAACACTGAAAAAAGCAACATAAAGCTATGTAAACTTTTGGCTGTTCTGCCCTGCCCTGCAATTTTCCACTAATGCTGTAGAGAGCAGTACAACATTGGAGGTACAATTGTTTAATGCTGAGAAAGCTCTGATAAATGTATACAAAGTGTAAGGTCACAGGAGATGGTCCGGAGACCACAACCTAGCACAGGTCAAATATATTAGCATCATATACGTGTGTGATATAATTTCCAGTCACTTCCTTTCTCCATGTATGGAGTGCTTTGGGATAGGGAATGGAGAATAAAACAAAAAATGCATAAACTAGAGAAATAGTTGTGAGAGCCTGAGTAAACTGAGTTAAATCCTAATCTCAATAGTGGCCCATCCAGTGCTCAATGAACGGTAGAACTGTCAAGTACCCAGCAGTCTCATATGTATGGCTGCTGGGCTATTACTGTATGATGACTTGAAAACTAGATGGGTGCAGGCAGAGATCTTTTTCTTCCTCCTTTGATCTGCCTATTAGAAATAAAAGTCAGGTGCCCAGAATTCACACCATCCTATACCCTTGCTATGTTTGCTTTATTTTGCTTCTCAAAAAACACAAGTTTCCTCTCTAACTACTGTCTATAGCCTATACTTGCTTTCACTTTTCATAATGCCCTATGTCTGTCATACATGGTTTTCCACCCTTTTTCACTCAGTACAATCACACCTCTAGTAGATCCTGCCCTGAGCTACAAAGAGCTATTAGAGGAATCCACACTCCTTCACTTGAGAGTATTAAAATGTCTTCTCCACAGGCCTCTATTTTAATTATTGCTTCAAACACTAAGGAAATATAGCAAAACAGAAGGGAAACATATTTGTGCAAAAGAGGAAGCAAGGAAGATAAACCACAAAAACAGTGGGATAAGGAAGGGGTTCAGGGAAAACCCAAGAGGTGCTTTCTTAAGACATTCTGCCTGAAAAGATCCTGGTTTTGCCCAAACAGATGTTACCACATAGATAGCAAAAATCTGGCATTTTATGGTTGAGGAAACATCACTCTGGCTGATGTCAAATTTCCACCAATGCTTTAAGAAGAGCTCTCTTTGGACGGTTCTTGCAAACCCAATCTGCTTCCAGAGGCAGACCTTCTAACCCAATTGGGCCATACTTCATCAAAGCTACACTGCTTGAGCAGCATCCAACTCCTTTCAAAGGAATGTGGTGTACATTTTTTTTTTAAAAAAAAAGCAGATGTGAAAACAGTAACCCCAGGAGATCACTGTTAATAGCAAGAAGACCCAAATCTTCAGGCCCCTAACTGCTTTGTGCAAACGAACAATTGCTTCTATGCCTCCTACCCCAGGCTAGTATCTTCCAGCATACATTGCTGTTGGATGTTGCTGTTACTTGAACAAAAGATAAGCTTTGAAAGCAAAACCTCTTATTTATTCATGTTTTGGGGCAAACTGGTTGACTAGTCTTATCACTTCTGCTCTGCTTATCAAGATCCAAGTGAAATTAAAGTGCTTCCTATTGCCAATTTCATTTGTGACAATGCAAGGATCAACCAATGTCTGCCTAACCAGCAGGCAGCAGTGCAAGCATGGCAGATGGACATGGATAGTCTTTCTTAAGAGTGCTGCTTTGGAAGTAAATAGCACAACACCTAAGAGACAATGTCCCCTTCCTTCATAAGCTGCTGGTATTCCAGGGTTACATGCCTTGATCACTTTGTGCTTATCCAGCAAGAGATCCTTGCTATCTACTCCCCCACTTTGGGAGATGGTAGGAAGGCACCGCTGATCTTGCAAATGCTAGCAGCTACCATAAGACTGCACTGTCCATATTGCTGAAGCCTGGCTCTGTCCTCAGCTTCCAGTAGGTATTGTTGCTTACCCAAGATTCCTTGCCATTGGCATCCACTTGCCTCCTGTCAGAAAAAAAGGAAGGAAACCCATCAGCAATTAGACTTGGCAAAAGGAGAATCTTTAAAGCAGGAATGGGAAATTTTATAACACCACATCTTTGCAGAAACATAACTTGGTCATCTCAAGCCAACAGGTCCAGAGTGAGGAATGCTGTGAATTACAAATCCAGCCACTTCTAATGGCAACATGTTTTTCATTCCTATTTTTAAACTTTTTATATACTCTCAGAATTAGAGAACTAGAATGTTAACAAACTTTAACCCACCGTATATATAACTGATGCAAAAAGAAAAAAAAATCAAAACAAGATTACAACAGGAAATTCTGCTTAACCACAACTTATGGTTTTTAAGTACTGATCATATGTTTTAAAATCAATCTTTGCAGTTTTAAGGATGGGTTTATTTGCTGCTTTTTCACAATAAAAATTACAGTTTTCCGAATACTGAACTTTCTCCAGTATTAGACTGTGCAAGTACATAGTGAGTATGCAGAAGACTTGTGGATTTCTTGGAACAGAGGTAGCTCAGGTTTGCTATACATATTTAATATTTGGATTTTTTTTGGCTTCAAATCATACCAAGGTTTGATTTCATACCAACCTTGATTTAAGGTTGTCTTTGCTTTGTTTAGGTAAGAATTTGATTCTATCTCTAATGCAAACGGTTGTGTTTGTTGCCTTTATTTCTAGACAATAATTCCAGCCACACTTCTCTCCCCTACAAATATAATACTGTTTTTTGCATGCATCTGATG